CTGGAGTAATTGAAGGTTTGGGCTGCTCGTGGGGGGTGGTCTTTGTGATGGGTTGATTTCAGGTTACAAATGGCAATGCCCAAATAAGCAAGTTTAAAAGGAAAATGCAGCAGCCAAATCAAAATTCAAGAGTAAAGGACACCACAAAATAATCAGGTTTTGGAATCAGCTGAAAGCTCAGAATCAGCTTGGATGAATCAAGGTCTGGAAGCAGCTGAAAATCAAGGTCCAGAAAACATTTAGTATTATTTGAGGGCCATTTATTATTGGTTTTCGAAAAGATTTAGTATTATATATTCACGGGCCATTTACAAATAGGAGGTCAACATTAAATCAAGAAGCCAGCATTGCTGGTGGTCAACCAAATTCCTCGGCGTGACAGCTGAGAGGATGCGAGGCATTAGGCGCAGGGCATCGCATTTGAGGTGTACGCGCGCACACCCACAGATATGTATAGCATTCAATAACATGCGCGCGCGAACAGACACAGACACACACACACACACATATATATATATAATTATATATATATACACCTAGAAAACACACAACACACACAAGAGGGAGAGTTTGTACTGTAAGAGAATGAATGGGACTTGGACTTGGCACACTGATCAGAGTCACCCATTGAGGCAACTTGAACTTTGAGATCTCAAGGCATCAGCATGTCAATTGAAACAGTGCAACAGATCAAAGTGAACGAAGAACCACCGTAGGTGAATTGGATATGACGGTTGAAGCGTGATGCAAGCTTCTAGGAGCAAGGCAATTTCAATGAACACATTCACCTTGAAGAGGATGAGCCACAGCATGTTGATCCTCACCTGGCTTTTGCCTCTTTTCTTCCGCGCCTGCTCTTCGCGCAATTCTGGGTCTGGAATTCATCATGCGGCCTAACATTCGACCGGCGATGCCTGAGCCGCTTGGCAATCATTTTGTATGCCTTGTTTTGCTCAGTCCAGGCGTGCCCTCCCAGCCTCCCACATGCTTGAAGATGATGCTTGTGTGGATGTTCAGATGTGAGAGGTGCATCACCTTTCCGGATTCCGTGTCTTCACCATGGGACCAACCGCTTCACCCACCTCACCAGCAAGAAGAAACACTTACTGTATAACTTATATCGCGGACAGTCGAAGCAGTGAGCACAGCAGAGCAGTGCCGCACTGAACAGTCTCTCAACGTCCATCCGGATCAAACCACTAGTTCAAGCCCTGGTAGCTATTTGCCATAGCAGTGATCCAAATCAGCACGGGGGGCGAGCAAGGTCTGCTGCCTTCCGAATGCCCCTTCCATTGGAAAATGCAAGAGTCAGCAGGCGCAACCGACACCTTGCCGAAAGATCCGGTCTGAGAATAAGGGATTCGCAGGCCATGACGATATGACTCTCCAATCGAGACTGCTTGGTAAGAAGGAAGCCAAGACCAAAAATTATCACGGCAAGAGATCCCAAACAGTGTGCGTGTGTGTGTGTGTGTCAACCCCTGGGCCAAGGGTTCACCACTACCACAATTTTACACGCAGGGGCACACGGCATCCATGACCTACCGTGTGCAACGAAGCTGCGGTCATGGATGGGAAGGGAAGGCTGATCACCTTCCTGTACCTGCTCTCAACACACTGACTCCAATGGTCCACCCTGCCGCTGTTCGTTGGTTCAATGGTTCTTCATGCTACCACCCCCAAACCCACCGCAGCCTTACAGCCGACTTGCAGCCGCGCTGAGTGTCCGATCGTCTTTTCGAGTGCCACTGCAAACTAGGTTAAACCATACTGTTTTCACTGACCTTTGCGCCCTGCGGTTCTTCGCCTTTCTTCCCATCGGGAAATTGAGTTAACTGAAAACCAATGTCAAAGTGTGTTTCGCTCAGCCGTCCCACTCGGGTGCTGAGTGTGATCCCCGTCATTGGGGCGCCGTTTCATTGGGAAAGCGTTCACTGAACTCACCACCGCTCACAGGAACTTCACTGGAACTCACCTACACTCCCACAGAATCAACTGCTACCAAGGCCGCCGGGCCTCACCACGGTAATCCATAGCCGCCGGGCTTTAAAACGGTACCCCAATCAGGCAGGTTTCCCCACCCCCCCCGCCGAGTTCTACTCTTTAGCTAATTAGGGCAACATAGGGAAATGGTACTCGACACACTTGTGTGTCGGTGCCTTTCCCTGTGTTGTTCCTGTTCTAGTCTTCTCTACCCGGGCGGTCTAAGACTAAAGTCCCGCTCCCTAACTACTGCACGTAATTATTTTCGTCTAAGTATTCAGTAACTCTAGAGAGCTAGGTAGTCAGACACACACATGTACACACACACATGTACATACATCCCCTCCCTGCCCCCCCACTTTTCTTCTTGCGCTTTCCGTCGTTTGTTGGGCTTTCTCTCAGGCTTTTTAGGTTGTTCTTCAGGCTCGTTTCCCTACCCCAGTCAAGGGCTAAGTATTCACTTTTTCTACACCTATCTTTCTTTCTTGCCCTCTTAGCGCTGCTCTTTCTGTCTTTCCTTTCTTTTGTTTCTAAGGCTTTTTAGGTGACTATCTTACGTTTTATGCCAGAGAGCCGCAAAGCGGCGGAGTGTGTCACACTCTGTACCTAAGAATTTTCCTTATTTGATTCCAGCAGGGGCGCCGATCACGGCGATCTGTGTGTGTCAACCCCTGGGCCAAGGGTTCACCACTACCACAATTTTACACGCAGGGGCACACGGCATCCATGACCTACCGTGTGCAACGAAGCTGCGGTCATGGATGGGAAGGGAAGGCTGATCACCTTCCTGTACCTGCTCTCAACACACTGACTCCAATGGTCCACCCTGCCGCTGTTCGTTGGTTCAATGGTTCTTCATGCTACCACCCCCCAAACCCACCGCAGCCTTACAGCCGACTTGCAGCCGCGCTGAGTGTCCGATCGTCTTTTCGAGTGCCACTGCAAACAAGGTTAAACCATACTGTTTTCACTGACCTTTGCGCCCTGCGGTTCTTCGCCTTTCTTCCCATCGGGAAATTGAGTTAACTGAAAACCAATGTCAAAGTGTGTGAGTGTGTGTGTGTGAGGAGTGTAGACATCTAGATGCGTTGGAGTCCAGAGAGGTGATGGTGGTGATGAAGGTGGGGATCGTGGTGACGGTGGCGGTGGTGAGTGAGTGAGCGTGAGTGTGAGTGTGAGTGTGAGTGAGGGTGTGAGTGGGAGTGAGAGTGAGAGGGAGAGGGAGAGGGAGAGGGAGAGGGAGAGTGAGTGAGTGTGAGTGAGTGCGAGCGTGAGTGAGAGTGAGTGTGGGTGAGAGTGAGTGTGAGTGAGAGTAGGAGTAGGAGAGTGAGTGCGTGTGAGTGTGAGTGCGAGTGTGAATGAGAGTGAGGGTGAGTGAGAGAGTGAGCATCTGAGAGCACAAAGTGCTGCACCTGCGCTTCGCGGTTCACAAAGTACTCGCCTCCACGAAATCTCCACTTCGAGGTTCACCAAGTGCTGCGCATGCCACGAAATCTCCACTTCAAGGTTCACCAAGTGCTGTGCCTGCCACGAAATC